TACCCACCAGTATCTCCTGTTTTACTAGTGGGCTCCTTTTTAACCGTAGATGACATGCTGCGAAGAGTGTCCTTTCTTAACACAATACAGGCATTCATTGTTGGTTATGCAATGTTGACATTCCTCCGACTTGAGCCAAGTCCTCCCGATCTACATCAGTTCAGGTTTAGGTTGCCTGGGCAACGAAACAGCTTGCTTACTTCCGGGTTCAAATTATTCAATTTCAATTCAATTCTATTTATTATATAGCGCCAAATCACAACAAAGTTGTCTCAGAGCACTTTACTAATTGGCTTTTTTTATGTATGTGAATGTTCCTATAAAGTGCCCTATCTAAGGAATAATAGTCACAAGAACTGTAGTTCTCTTCCATGGAATGTTCCCGGAAGCAGTTGTAGATTTACCTTGTGTAGTGATGTAGCTGTTAGCTTCACTACTAATTAATTATTCTTAAAGCTAGTTCAAGCACAAAGAATATTAATTGTTTAATTACAACGGATTCTTTTATTTTTTTAGTTAAATTTGTTCTGTGACCAAGATAACTTGTGAGTGGAGTGTTTAATCAGTGACATGAGACGCCATTTTATCTTTGACCCATCAGAATAAATGCTGTCATTTATTTAACAGAATCAACATGTACACATTGATTTGCTGATCTGTTTTTTATTAATAAACTTGGCACGCTTTACTAAACAAGACAACAGAGCATTACTGATTGAGACTGATTCATCTCTGAAGGCATCTAGCTTGATTTACTGGCAAATAGAGAAGTTTAAGAGAGGAGGAATAGATTTAAGGAGGACGTTTTAGATGGATGAAAGTTATGTGTTGAACCAGAACATGGCACCCTTCCTCCAACATCATCCAGCTCAGCCCTCCGGTACACTTCACGGCGTCAACGGCTTGTTACTTGAGATAGTGGATACCTCCACTCCGGAACAGAAGTCCATTGGTACGCCGTCTTTTCAGCGTCTCCGGTTAGAGTAGCTGGGGGCCATCAGAAATCGTGACGAAGTACTCGGTTCAACCGAATAAGCTTCCTTAGAAGTTGAGCTTTTAATGCTCGGGTTGAGTTACAACCGAGGAAGGCTGTGACTACGCTGGAACAGAGAGACCCTTGGAACATGGTCAAATCCATCTGCTACTTAGTTGAGTCTCATCTTCGACTGGAAGTTCCAGCAAGACTGGAAAAGACTGCAAAGACTCCAACAGACGACGAAGACCAAGACTGAATAGTTCCAAGAAGACTGAAAAGTTCCAAGAAGTGTTGCCTTTTAAAGGTTATCTACTTCCTGTTACGTGGTACTTCCTGATTGGTTGAAACAACCAGCAGGGGTGTAGTTTAGTGATGTCAGAGGGTCACTAGGAGTCAGTAGGCAGCAGGATTGTTTTTAAAAACGGTTAGTACAGACAGAGAAATATTATGAAGAGGTGAGACAAAGCAGGTGCCAGCAGCTCTTATTTACTGTCTGAGAGTTTTAAAACAAGACACTTCGTTCTCATAACTTGTCTCTGACTTTCGACCGACATCCACTACTCCTCATTCAGACAGAAGACTAAATGCACACTTACTTCGTAAATAGACATTTAACTGTATGATCAAAGTTTATTGAGGTTTAAAAATCATTAATACTTTTTCACAGTTGATTTAAATGAGTGGTTCACTTCAACATTTAGAAATGGTATGAACTAAACACACTTTTGATTATCAAGATATTGTAAAATAGTAATGATAATGTAAAAAGAAAAGTGTTCTTTCAATTGATTAATTCAGGATACAATTAAATAGTCTCTTGATGAGATATTTTTGTATTTCTGGATTCAAATCAATGAAATAGCAGTTCCTGTCTCCTGAAGGTCCTCAGAGACAGATTGAGGTCGGAGGTCTAGTTCACTACACTTGTGAGGTTAATCAGTTGGTTCCGGTCTTCTGGTGTTTCACTGGTAGCGAGTTGATCCTTTATGCATTTATTCAATGCGTGAATAAAAGCTCCCCTGAGAGGATTCTCATAACAGTCAGCCCTCTCTGCCCAAATGCGGAAATGGATGATGAACTCGGTGACGGGTCTGTTTCCTTGCTATAATGTAAACATCTTCTGGGTCACTTCTTCCTGCTGCAGGGATTTGTCAAAAACTTGCTCAAAGTCCTCAATAAATGAGAAAAAAGTTATCAACTCTGTCTGGCATTTGTGCAGGTAAGCATGAGCCCATTGGAGCACTTCGCCCTTTAAAGCACTGATAATGAAATTCATGTGGGCAGTGTCTGAGGAGTAAGTTAGCGGAGCACGATTGAAAGAAAATATCCATTGTAATAAGAAGCCGCTGTACTTACTGGGGTTGTCTTCAAAACAACTGCATTTTGTTTGTACATTGGTTTAGCTTCAGAGGGGAGGAGTACAGTACTGTTGCAAACGATCTGCGGTCTGTGTATATGGTTGTTTCTGCAAGAATTTTTGAGGGTTGTTCTGTGATTTGTGAGAACAGACAACACAGTGTAAGTTCACAACCGAGCTTTTGCAAAAGGGTAGCTACAGTCACAACTGTGTTAAAGCTGTGAGCTGAGAATTACAAAGACTTTCAACATCTGCTCATTTTTTATTGTCACACAGAAAGGAGTGAAAACTGGACATCTTGTTTATGCAGGCAGTTTAGATTACACAACGAGGGCAAGGCGGTCTAGAACATTTTGATTAAATGCTTACATGGGTGTGAGTAATGAGTTCCTTATACCATTGTATCATTAAATTCTGCTTCGTACGCACAGTTAAGAAAAACAATAACAGTGTGAGATTGATAATGTGAGATTGATAAAATATGAGTTTATGTATAAAACCCTGACATCTGTGGTTTTACAAAAGAAAAAACAGCTTTCAGAAACTACTACGTGGGTGAACGTTATCAGTTCCTGTCATTTGGTTTAACTTTACAAGTTCACAGCTTTAAGGTCAAACAGGCACTCTAAAACAAAGTTTGATAAAGTTTTAAGATACAAAAACCCTATCAAAGGAATGCACCAATCAGTAAGCTTTCAGACTCAGATGTTGTATGAGCTGAGCTGTAAGCTGGATGCGATTTCTGAGAATCACAGGCCACTATGGGGCGGCTGTGGCTGAATGGTTAGAGCAGTCGTCCTCCAATGTGAGAGTTGGGGGTTCGAATCCACCAGCAGTCACGTCGAAGTATCCCTGGGTAAGAACCCCTCATAGCCTCTGATGTGTGTCCCATCAGTGTATGAAAGTGATCTAAAAGCACTGATTAGTGTCATTAGAATGATTTGTTCAATTAGCTTTGTAGAGATCTAGTAAAGTGCTGTATGAATGGGTAAATGAGGACACAGATTGTCGTGTAAAGAGCTTTGAGTATCTTGAAATAAGATAGAAAGGTGCTATATAAGTACAGTCCATTTACCATTTACTTGCAGCTCCTGGGACTAACTGGCATGAAGGAATTGACCTTGGAGAAGGCTACAAGCTCGGTCCAGAGGTGTGACCACAAAATTTGACAGTTTGGAATCACCATGGAGATGTACCAGCAGAACTTTCAAGGCATACGTGGAAATCAAACAGAGTCTGCCTGACACAAAATAATTGAGTTATCTGAATTTGGCTTCCCCACTTGGCCTTGATTTGGCCAGCTATCTCAAACTTCTCCTGGCTGTTTATGTGAACGAGAAGCCCCCCCCCCCCCCCCCCCCCAAAAAAAAAGCACACACACACACACCCATTACTCCCCTCTCGAGGACATCTGTGTATCTGTGTCAGAGTTGAGCCGACTGATAGACACTGTGCCATCTTATCATGACTATGGAACTTTCTGGCAGTCCATGGACAACTCATTGCCTTCATCGGCCTCCTCATGCATAAATGTATTATGACATCATTATGTCTGCTGTTTATGTGCAAGGTCTTTTTTTCCAACTCTCACACTGTGCCCTGGCCAGGACATAGTGCAAGACATTATTTTTTTTTACCTCCCCTCCTCCTCGTGTTTACTCTTTTCCTTACTTTTGTCTGTTTGTCTGACTAAAACAGGTCTCACTTGTAAATGAGTCTCTGAGGCTCAATGTGATTAATCTGTATAAATAAAAGGTTGAATGAAAAAATCTGGATGAAGCAAAATTTTCTTAAATTAAACGCTGACAAAACTGACATATTCCTCATTGGTCCAAATAGTGTTACCAAATACAGTCTTTACTCAGCACCCCACCCTCCACCCCCACCCACCCCTACCCACTACAATAAGTGAAAAACCATGAAGTAGTGATAGTAGTACAAGTAGTAGTAGTGTATCGTGTCTCGTCATACACGTTTGCATCATCACTGGATGGAGAGTGACAAACATACGTTTGGAGGTTCATGACCTCAGTCCATTCAAATTCCAAGATGTAACATAATAAACAAATAATAAATATCAGGAGAGAATTAAAAATAATAATCAACTTGTCATTTTTTGCCTAATTACTTAATTTATGAAGTCATGATTTCTAGCACATTTCTTAATAATTCTCTAGAGGATCATGCAAACCTTCAGCAGAGCTTGGATATACGCACTCTGTGTGCTGATTGTATGCCTGTTATAAATTCAAATAAAAAAAACTATTTTGTTAAACGAGAGCACTCAGAAAATGACAAAAATAAAATTTTCAGACTGAACAGTGCTCAGTACAGAGGCCTGTCAGGTATTCTTGGTGGAGGATTGAAGAAGATGCTGCCACAATAATTCATCCTCCTTTTCTCCATTATTACCTCAGCCCAGTTAAAAAGCTGTGTTCTTGTAATGGTCCCCCAAGGCTCTTTGATTTACCGGAATGATGATCTTAATGCTTCACATTGATTCTCTGAGCAGTTAACAGGAAGACAATGTGGTAAAAAGGAATGAATGTATAAAAAACAGTGATAGTCCTTGAAAGCACAACAGTAAACTGTTCTGATGAACATTGCAGAGATTTATTTCATGATTCAGATGAGAACATACTGATTAATGTGAGCTCACCTCCTCAGGGAAGGAGCCAGGCTCGAGCCAAGACGACTTCTCCGACGTGTCCAACAAGTGTCTGCCGTGTCGGGAGGGCTGCTCTTCCTGCCAGGATGACACCCCCTGCCTGGTGCAGGAGGACGGGGCTCTGTGGCTTGCCCTCACCTCCTTCCAGGCTCTATGCATCCTGCTGGACCTGGCCTGCATGTTTGGAGTTTACCACTTCAGGAAAAACAAGGTGAGTAGAAACAACTTCTGTCCTATAAACATTCTCATATATATAATCTGATCAAACCCAAACAATGAGCGGAGAAAATTAGGAGCTTAAGCCAAAATACCAAATACTTCAAATTATTATGCTGTGTCTTAATCAGTTTTTGTTTTAACTCCCACAGTTGAGCACCCTTTAACTGCAAACCTCAGAGTTTTTCTGCAACATGTTTGTAGTTGGAGTGGAAGGATGAAGGCTTTCACTGTGACGTGACTCATAAACCTCCAACTCTGCTAAGAGCCAAAAAGCCATTACAGACTTTCAAAAAGACATAATTACTGAAAAACTCTCAACAGAAGGAAAATAAACATGTAGACCATTAAACGAAGATGCTTCATATTTCTAGCGAGGGAACATTGTAATTCCCTCTTGTTTAAATTAAGTATATTGCTTTGATTTTTATTTCATATTGCGTTTAGTACAATCTATTGTACAGCGTTGTTTCAGCAAACTCATTAAAGTTTTATTCTTTTACAGGGCAAAGCCCCCACCCCATTTCTGGGAATAGGTCCCTTAAGATACATTCAAATGTACCATTGTTTAATTAAATGAACATCAAAAGTTCATGACTGTGTTTGCATGCAAGTTGCAGAAACTAACAGGAGCACTAAACATCTTCCTCTGACCACTCCCAGGCTCAGTTTTTGGTTTCCTTCTAACGCTTGATTTAACATCTGGGTCACATGGTCATGTGACCTAAAGCAAAAGTGTTTTCTTCTTTTTACAAAGGTCTGAAAACATAAAAATGATGAGAACAAGTTGCTAAACATCAGTGTCAAATAATGTTAAACTTTAGTAAAATTGTTTGCCACCCAGCAGGTTTGTGTGATAAAGCCAGACTGTATCTTCTGCCTAGTGTCTGTGTTTCCTTCCTAGTATGTGGGTGAGCATGGCAACGGGGCCTCAGAAGGCAGGTGCACAGGAAACGAACGTTTCCTATGTGCGTGGGCGAGGGCCTTGTTCTGCCCAAGTTCTTTTGAAGGAAAGTGTTACGAATGAATAACATTGCTTGAATTCATATGTGAATTAATAAGTAATTATGTGTGATTACAAGTAATTAAAAGAGCGTGTTTAAGTTGAACAAACTTGTGATCTAAGATGTTACAAGTGGGGTGGCTGATATGAACAAACTGTTCCAAACACTGAGGCAAGAACTCAAGTTAGTGGTGAGCACCATATATGGCAAGGCCTTAAGACGAGGTGCTTCCTGGGTTCTGAGAAATGCACTTTGTGTGTTTCCTAGGTGCCAGGAAACTTACCTTGGATGACTGTAAAGGACCAATCAGAAGGTTACACCAGATAGTTGCAGTGCAAAGATAATACGTTGAAACATGTTTAGACTGGTTTGAACCGGTTTAAGGACTATATAAACCTTACACATCCTCAAAGCTGGACTGAACGGACCGGAGAACTGATGAAACACAGAACGATATTGAACCTGCTCCTAGGAGCCACTGAAAAAGTTTTGGACAACCCAGAAGTAATTCCTTTTTAGTGAAGACAGGAGTACTTCTTTTTGTTTCAGCCAGATTGATTGCCAAACCAGATCTTTCAGTATTAGGACTGCTCTTTGGGCAAAGGGTGCTTCCTTCCAGGACTCTGGGAGAGAAAAAAATTGCTTGTCAATAACCAAAGAATTCTTCAGACAAAGTTATGGTAAGAGATACCCTGATGTTAAAGATGGGAGCTGGCTGCGGACCACCGGATCCGGAAACCCCCTCCAGCCCACGTCTTTACCCCCGGCTCGAACCTCCCTCAGAAGTGGCACTATAATAATCAATAAATCAAGGAAATGTCAATTAAGTTTTATCAATTATATTAGAAAAGGCAGGAAAAGATTACAGTTTCACAGCGCTGGACTCTACAGTCTGTGACGCGTTCACAGACCCGGAAGAAAAGCCTCGAAGTCCCGTGTCATTACTAATTTATGGGGTTATATGACTCCTCCTTTCGCAGAAGGGGAGCTCAGCCTAAGTGTGGTCTTATGTGGACTGACGTGTTAGGAAATATGAGACCGTGCTTCAAAGCCTTTCTACATGATGTGGCAAGCAGATTAAACTATTTGACTGATATTGAAATCCCAGGGAGACTCTCTTGAGAGCTGCTGGCCCAGTTTAAGCCAGTCAGAACCGGGTCATAATTTCATTATAATCCCGTCTCTGAGCAGATCAAAACCATAAGACCAGTCTAGATTAAACATATCTTAACACTGATTTATCGTTCTTTATAAATTTTATATGAAATAATATCAACAATCAATTCTATCAACTCATAAGAACCCTGAGGTCCCCGGACACTCCATCAAAGCTCACTGGAGCTAGGAAATCACCACTTTAGTGAACTTTCAATCCTTTGGACACCAAAATCAATCAATCAGGATCCTTCCTCAAGCAATGCATGGACACTTTATTACTGATTTTACTAAATAATCAAATGTAATCATTTTGGATTGTGCAATTAACACTGTCCCCTGCCAACCATAAATTAAAGCAAAACATAAAATATAAAATTGATCACACTATTTTGCTTGAAAAATTGAAACAATATGGTATTAGAGGTCTAGCCATAGAGTGGATATCTAGCTATTTAAACAGAAGAAAACAGTTTGTACAGATTGATGAGGTTAGATCTGGTTTGTGTAATGTCTCATGTGGAGTACCTCAAGGTTCAGTTCTTGGGCCTAAGCTGTTTATTTTGTATGTAAATGATTTAGTTAAGGTGTCTAGTATTCTCAAGTGTGTTTTATTTGCAGACAATACTACTTTCTTTTGTTCGGGTAAAGACTTAAATCAGATGTTTGAATTAATGAAGATTGAGTTTGTAAAAATTCATACTTGGTTTAAATTAAATAAATTATCACTTAATCTAGAAAAAACAAATTATATGATATTTAGTAAAAAAAAAAGCCATCTATAGATTTTCCTTTCGAAATTGATGGTGTTGTGATAGAAAGAGTGAGTGAAGTAAAGGTTCTGGGAGTGATTATAGATGATAAATTGACATGGAAAAAACATATTAATTTTGCAAGAACTAAAATTTCCAGGTCTATAGCAATGCTACATAAAGTACGAGAATTTCTGACTGATAAAGCATTGTGTCTACTGTACAATACAGTTGTTGTGCCACATTTGATTTATTGTGTTGCTATCTGGGGTACAGCTTGTAAAACTGCAACCAAGTCTATTTTTATTTTACAAAAAAGAGTTATAAGAGTTATAGCAAAAAAGCATTATCGCCATCCTTCAAGTATTTTGTTTTATCAACTGAAAATTCTTAAGTTTTATGATTTGGTGGATTACAATATTCTATTATTTATGTACAAGGCTCAGAACAAAAATTTACCATCAAACATACAAGTCCATCCATCCATCCATTTTCTTCCGCTTATCCGGGGTCGGGTCGCAGGGGTAGCAGCCTAAGTAGGGAGGCCCAGACTTCCCTTTACCCAGCCACTTGGGCCAGCTCTTCCGGGGGAATCCCGAGGCGTTCCCAGGCCAGCCGAGAAACATGGTCCCTCCAGTGTGTCCTGGGTTTTCCTCTGGGCCTCCTTCTGGTGGGACGTGTCCGGAACACCTCACCAGGGAGGCATCCAGAAGGCATCCTAAACAGATGCCAAAGCCACCTCAACTGGCTCCTCTCGACGTGGAGAAGCAGCGGCTCTACTCTGAGTCCCTCCCGGATGATCGAGCTTATCACCCTATCTCTAAGGAAGAGCCCACACACCCTGCGGAGAAAACTCATTCCGGCCGCTTGTATCCGAGATCTCATTCTTTCGGTCACAACCCAAAGCTCGTGACCATAGATGAGGGTGGGAACGTAGATCGATCGGTAAATTGAGAGCTTCGCCTTTTGACTCAGCTCTCTCTTCACCACGACAGACCTGTACAGCGCCCGCTTCACTGCAGACGCTGCACCTATCCGCCTATCGATCTCACGCTCCATTTTTCCTTCATTCGTGAACAAGACCCCAAGACACTTGAACTCCTCCACTTGGGGTAGGACCTCCTCCCTGACCCGGAGAGGGCACTCTACCCTTTTCCGGCTCAAGACAGTGGCCTCGGATTTGGAGGAACTGATCTTCATCCCGGCCGCGTCGCATTCGGCTGCGAACCACTCCAGCGAAAGCTGTAGATCACGATCTGATGAAGCCAATAGGACCATATCATCTGCAAAAAGCAGAGATGCAATCCTAAGGCCACCAAAACGGATCCCCTCAACACCTTGGCTGCGCCTAGAAATTCTGTCCATAAAAGTTATGAACAGAATCAGTGACAAAGGGCAACCTTGGCTGGTGTCCAACTCTCACCGGGAACAAGCTCGACTTACTGCCGGCGATACGGACCAGGCTCTGGCACGGTCATACAGGGACCTAACAGCCCGTATCAAAGGGCCCGGTACCCCATACTCCCAGAGTACCCCCCAC